TTTTTTTTTTTTTTTTAATTTTAAGTAGCAGCAGAGTTTTTAATTTTTTTTTTTTTTGTCATCGTGTTCTGTGTTGCGCTTCCGCCGAGATCCCCGATGAAATTGTATTCTACGTAAATTTTCGGATTACTCATTTCCTGCCGTTAGTCAAATAAACAATATTATCAGAGATTTTTTTCAATCACCTTGTCTGGCTCGTCAGACTATGATCGCAAGCGTTGATAAATCGCCAAAATCATCAGAGCTTCGCTTGATCTCTCGTCGTACATGCAATTCCATCAGATATCTCAGAGTTCGTAATTTCATTACAGTGCGAGTCACATTCAACTCGCGAAATTAAGAAAATGTTTCTGTTCTCGATTAATTGAAGACTTGTTTCCTTTGGCACAATGTGCTTTTACTTCTTTCATTTCACCGAGGAATTAGTTGCAGCGTAGATTATTACAATTTCATCAGATACCTCGAGTATTCTGAATTTCAATCTGAGTCTACTCTCGAAATCGAAAAATGCATTTTTCTAATATATAATTTTTCACGAAGACTTGTTTCTTTTTTATTTCTTGTACCTCTCGTTTCCTGTTACATTTAACCAATGAATTGAAACTATCCAGAATCGGAGTATAAATTCACCAGAATCTCACAAATCTCTTGAAACGTGAATTTTTATCCCGTTTAATTAAATAACCCGCGGCGGGTTGAACTTGTCCGAAGGGATCGGCGCGCACCTGCAGCATCCCGGAGCGACGGCCACAAAATCAAATCGACTCCTCTGCCCTTCTGTGTGTGTGTGTGTGTGTGTGTGTGTCTGAAAAAGATTCCGATACGGGCCACGGGAGGAGAAGAAACAGAGGAAGAGAATCGGCCGGCTCTGGAGAAAGAAAAAAAGATAATAGGCTTCCGGCGATGAAAGCGTTCGCGGGGCAGGTTTTAATTTTCAAGAGGCCGCCGGGTCTGTGTTTCTTCTTCTCTTTCTCCTCCTCCTCCTCCTCCTCCTCCTCGTCTCCGTCGTCGTCGTCGTCGTCGTCGTCGTCATCGTCATCGTCGTGTTCTTCTCCTTCCTCGGCTTATATACACGCAGCAGCTGTGCAGGCCGCCGACTGGCGTTTCATTCGATTTGGCGCGTGCCTCGTGGCCTGCGTTGCTGACCACGTTTTGCTGCTCGCTGCCTTTCGTTGCTTCGCCGTTACTCGTCGCTCATGGCACCTGTTCCACAGCTGATACGCGGCTGCCTATGCTCCCTCGTTCTCTTCCTTCTCTGCGTTTTCTCTCCTCCCTTCGCGAGAGAACTGCCACTTTCTCCTCTGCATTTGATCCCGCAGCGAGGAGAGTTATATATTCATACATTTCGTCGCAGAATTCTACTACATGAGAAGGGAGGATGCAGTGTGCGACAAAGCTTGTCTGTTAATTATATAGTTTGTGAAATCTGACTTTCTAGTTTCACTTCTTGTTATCTTTGACATTGCAGAAAACCGAGGACACGAGGGGCGTCGTGCAATTTTCAACTGTGAATTCTTGACAGGCTAATGCTAAATACTTTGTGATATTTTATAATGTAATACTTGACAGATTTCTCGCTCTTGATTTCATTGGTACGCACAGTTTCTACAGCTATATATAATGAAAATAATTTTCACGTGTCTAAAAAAAAAACGCAGGCCAAGATACACCAAATTCCTTTGGCATTTCAGAGACAGAGTTTTCAAGTAACAGATGATATTTACAGTCAAGTTTCTCTTGCGAAGAAGTACGCGAAAGAAGGGAATAATAGTGCCACGGGAAGTTCAATATAATTAAGGTTAAAAGCACCTAGATTGGAAGATAGATCGTGCCTGTTGTTCGTCAGATAGCGTGTAACTTAACCCATTGCGAGTAACAAAGAGCCAGCGAACTTGCAATTAATCACGCAGAGATTACGTTACAATATACGTACTTGCGAAAATTACACGACACTGTGGCAATACAATGTCAGAGTACTTTGCCGCTCGAAGGAAACAGATCCTCAGAATCAGAAATGTTCTACAAAACTGATGAAATTGCAGAAAGTGCGCCACTTTAAAAAAAAAAAAAGAAAGAAAGAAAGAGAAGACCGAGAATAGCAACGAGAGGGGAGAAATGCAATCGAGACAAACGCAAAGAAATAAAAAAAAAAAAAAAAAAGAAGGAATCGCTCGCTCCGGCTCCAATTGTTCATCCGTGTGAACAAACGCGCGGCCTGAATGCTCAGGAATTTCGGAATAGTTTCGTTGCTCTGCCCCCTTTCGGAGTCGCGACGACGAGGACGATAAAACGCGGCTACGAAGAAGAAGAAGAAGAAGAAGAAGAAGAAGAAGGATCGTGGAAGGAGGAACGCGAGAAGAGGGTGCATTTAGGTAGCATGAAAACATGTATGTATGTAGTGGCTCGTAGCAAACGTGTTGGTGGTTCTTCACGTGTGTGTTTGGTGTTTGCGGCGTAGGTGTGTGCGTGGCACGCCGTGAGGGCCGACTCGAAGTTGCACTCCCACGCTCACCGTCCATGAAATGGGGTGCGAGGTGCAGCTACACGCCAGCCTCGTGCAGGTGTAGGTGGTGTGCGCAAGGGTCGGTCCCTTGGGCCCCATTAACGTTGCCCGTTCCTCGAACCTATGAGAACCCGCCTGGACTTATGATAATTCCGCGTGTCGTTACACTCTTTCACCCATTATGATGGTAGTATCTACCGACCGAGTCGTTTGCTTTTTCTCGTGTCTCTTCGGCTTAGGGGGGAGAATTCGTTTAACCCTTGGACAACCTCGATATAGTTTCCTATTTCGCAAGCATTCAGACAGTTGAACGAGGTTCAACACACAGTGGGAATTCGTATTAGAAAATTTGAAGAGAACAATTTCTCTTCAAAGTCTCGATTTCTCATACCCTTGGAGGGACTCCTTACAGGTTGCGATTAAGAAAGGTCTTCTTATGTTGCATCTGTAAGATCATTAATAATGTAGAAATATTTGGGAATTAATGGAAACACTTAACATACGTAATTTCGGTGCATTGTTATAATATAACTACCCTATAGATTTATTATTTATTTATTAGGGTGAGATTCGAGAATATCGATGCTTAGAATATTCCTTCTCGTTACATTCTCATTAAATTTATATCTAATATTGCGTGAAAAATTACTAGCAACGTAGAATCTTTCTCAACGTTTTAGACATTGCGCCCTCTTACAAACTACTTGCTCCTTCTTTACGAAACGAAAGTAATCGATCAACCTTCGAGCTTTCGAGTGTCATCAGCGAACCTGTAACTTAGTTCCTTGTCTGGAAAAAACTGACGAATCGAGCCAAAAATCTGCAGTAGCCTGGCTTCTCGCAGCCGATCGACACGACTTAGATATCCATCGTTTCGCGAAAGTTCGTTAACGCCGTGTCGCGAACGATGGAGCCTGGCTCGTTACGGGTCGAGTGGCGGGCCACCTGTTTTCCTCGCCGTTAAAAAAGAGGATAAGTGTGGGAACGTCGGCTGGTCACACATATCGTGCACATTGTAATTCC